GACCTTTAAAATGGGAATAATAATAATAGCTTCTACTTCTTGGAGCTATGTTAAGTGAGAAAATCACGTCAAATGCTTAGGATAGTGCTAGTCATATAGTAGCGCTAATTCAATATTATCATCCTTGCACCTGTCCATGGTAGGCACCCAATAGATGTTTGTATAGGAAAAGAAGGAAGGACTGTGGATAAAAGATGATGCAGAGAATATTAATTATCTATGATTAATTACATTAATTCCTTATACTAATAACTAGAATCATTCACATTTACTTTCCGCAGTCTTCCTGTTTATTTTTACTTACTTATCTCACTATCTAGCACCCTTAGAAATGGATGTTTTAGAAAGAGTTGGGAATTCATTCATTTAGGCACTCAGCAAAACTTCTGGTGCCAGGCTCTGGCTCAGAGCTTGGGAATGAGTTCTGGGTTCTGCTCGTGGGTCACCGAGCCCTCTGGACTTTCAGTGAGGGGCTCAGTAAGCTGCCAGGCCTGCCAGAGGCCAGGAGCTTTGCTGATAGAAATAGTGCCAGGGTGCCCAACTTCTGGAATAGGGCTGTGTTCTCACTGTAACCTGCCACTGTGAACCCAAGGTCAGGTGGCCCTTTGTTTGAACCCTGGCTCTGCTATCTTTGAAGCCATGGTTTCCTCACAGGTAAAATGGGAGTAAAAATCTGCCATGCTGTGCTTAAAGTTTGAGTCTCCCTGCGGGAGGAAGCAAGGGTGCTGCAGGCTTCTGGCACACAGGTGCAGCCAGTGCCCACTTTTCCTGCCTGTGGGCCATAGTCTGAGGTCAGGGAAGGAAGCTGACACTTGTTAAGCACCTTCTATGAGCTGTGTACTTTAATTACAGGCTTCCCTGATAGCTCAGTTGGTAAAGAATCCACCTGCAATGCAGAAGACCCTGGTTTGATTCCTGGGTCGGGAAGATGCCCTGGAGAAGGGATAGGCTAACCACTCCAATATTCTCAGGCTTCCCTGTGGCTCAGCTGGTAAAGAATCCAACTGCAATGTGGGAGACCTGGGTTTGATCCCTGGGTTGGGAAGATACCCTGGAGAAGGCAAAGGCTACCCACTCCAGTGTGCTGGCCTGGAGAATTCCATGGACTGTATAGTCCATGGGGTCGCAAAGAGTCAGACACGGCTGAACGACTTTCACTTTCACTTTAATTACATGAGAATTTAATTCTTACAATGACCTACCTGATATGCCCCCCATTTTGCAGATAAAGCGAGACCCAGAGAGTGGAGAAACTTTCTGAATTTCCCACACTTCTCCACTGTGTGTAGTGGGGAGCAACATTCCTACCCAGCTCTGGAGTCCAAGTTCTGCCCATAGTGCGGGGGCCCCTACCCAGGCTGGAAGAGAAGCTGCCAGGGACCTGGGGCTGGAGGAAGCCACCAGCTCTGCTGGGCCCAGGCAGGCAAGGGGCATCGAGGCCAGGCCTGGTGGAGGGGGGCGGGGGGCGGGCCTGGGGTTCACTGGGGACATTCTGGGGCAGGTCTTGAGTTTCACTTTTTGCCAGCTCAGCCCCAGGGTTGGGGCTGCCTGAAGTTCAGAGAGAATATGTGACCCAGAGCTCGAAATTCAGCTGAGAAGTCATCCCTAGGCCCCTCGGCTGGGAGAAACATGTTCAAGCTGTTCCCTCCTCCCCGGGGCTCTCTCCCTCTCTCCCATCCCCTGGCACTGCTTTATGGTGGGGGCTTGGGCTGGCTTCAGCCCCTCCTCCTGCAGGAAGTCTACCCTGAACACTCCTGTTCCCACCAAACGCCCTTCACTCTGATTACAATGAGCACATGGTACATGCCAGGCTCTGGGCCAAACACTGAGGATGCTGAGATGGATAAAACCCTATCAGGTAAAGAGAGCTCATGAGCTGGGCAGGAGAAGAGACAAAAACAGGTGTCTGTACAACGTGATAAGAACTAAGAGAATTGCAGCTTCTACTTAATGAGTCTTGTTAGGAAGTATAGGTTTTCTGTGTTTTCTATCATTTGATCTTCAGGAGAAATAGAATCCCCGCAGAGCAGTAATTCCATTTGACAGTTGAGGAGACCGAGACGTCTGGAAAGCAGCTTGTCCAGCTCCAAAGCTCTGCTCTCTCCACCACCTGCTTCTGCCCAGGGGGTGTGGGAAGCCCAAGACCCTCATCTGGCTCTAGGGAGGGAGCAGCACTGAGGAATGTCTCCTGGAGGACATTGGACCTGTGCTGTACTTCGAAAGATCAGAAGTGGGCTGGTTGGAAGAAGATGGATTTCAGACAGAGAGAGGAGTTTGTGCAAAGGCCTGGAGAGTTAGCACTCATCCCCTCTTGGGGCCATGGTCTGTTGGTCTCAGCTGGTTTCTCTCGGGTCTTTTGCTGGCTTGTCCTCTTGTCCTGGGCCTTTACCTTTGTCCTGCTTCTCATCTCACCCCATCCTCCTTCCCTACACGACCTCATCATGCCCTTGACTTCAGCTCTCTTTGCCAATGACATGTCTCTCTCCTCTCAGCTAAGAACCACACAGGCTACTGCCTACTCAAGCTCTTCCCTTCTTAAAGGGACTTGAAACACAAACAGACCCCAAACAGAATGCCCATGCCAGGGATCCTGTTGGTCTCTGTGCCTGGCACCGCAGCCATCCTCAGGACAGTCAGCTTGACACTTCCTGCTCCCTCACCTCCCCACCGAGACCGTCACCAGGGTCTGTCAGCTCGCCCTCCATCCACGCCACCCATGCACACCTCTGCCACATCTGAGCTGTCACCTGCGCTTGGATTCTACCATCAACCCCTGTTACTGGGCTCCCCTCTTTTCTCTCGCCTAAATGTGTTGCTAACAGGATCTTTTGAAAATACAGACCTTCCCGCTGCTTATGTACACGGCTTGCTAATCCTTTTTGGATAAGACTGCAACTCCTCTGTGGCTCCCACGGGCTGCTGACTTCTCCAGGTTTGCCTTTTGCTGTAGTACCATCAGGCTTCCCCAGTGGCGCTAGTGGTAAGCCTTGGGTTGGGAAGATCCCTCCCTCCCCAGGAGGGCATAGCAACCCACCCACTCCAGTATTCTTGCCTGAGAATCCCAAGGACATAGGGTCGCAAAGAGTTGGACACCAATGGAGTGACTTAGCACACACACAGGTAGTACCATCACACCACCCATAGTGGACTCTTCCTAGTTCTCTGAATGTTTCAGGCTGCCTCCCACTCAAGGGCCTCCCAATGCACAGATTCCACCCCTAGGAATGCCACTTCCACCCTCAGGCCAGCCCCAGTCTTGTTAATTCCTCTGTTGATGCTAGTTACCTCCTTAGGAAGCTTCCCCGGGCCCTCAGAATAACCACCCTCGCTGGGGAGCTGGGGCCTGGGGAGATTGGAAGGAAGGCATCCCACCCCCAAAGGCCACCTATTTCCCTGGCTCCTCAGAACTTCAGCTCAGGTCCTCCTGGGCTCAACTGGCATTTCGGTAACAGCATCCCAGGGCCACCCACTGTGACTAAATGTCCCCACACATTCCCTAATGGCCCTGGGGGTAGATGCCAACCCCTCTGGCCCACTCCATCACCTCTTCTGCTCAGAGCCCATGAGTCCAACTACCTTGGTGTGTTGACTGGGGACGGGGCCACGAGAGGGCCAGAGTCTTGTCCCAGGAGACAGCAAAGCACACGTGTCCCAGTGGGGAGACTGCCTGGGTCTCTTTCCCCTCCAAACCCTCACCCGGGTCACATTCATATTCCGACGGCTGCCGTCCACAACCAGAGTCCCTCCCTCAGCAGAGTCACCACAGGCAGCCAGGACCTAGCCAAGCAGCACGCTACTGGGGCCCAGCCATCAGAGGTTTCGTCCCTGCTCCGATGCTGAACAGGCTTAGGTAACTGCCTTTCCCCCTCTGAGCCTGTTTGCTCAGCTGAACACGGGAGATAAACAGATCTCGAAAGAGACCAGAGAACACTACCTAAGCACCCGGGTGGGTGCACACAGCATTTTGCTTACATCCTTCCTGCTGAGGATGTGGTGTTTAAAGTCACCTGTCCCTGGGGTTAACCAGTAGAAGCAGCAGGGCGTGGAGGGAGAACACAGTTTGCATCCCTGTTCCTCCAGTTCCTGGCTTTGGTGGTTCTGGGAAAGTTGTTCTTTCCCCACTCTGTGCCTCAGTTTCCTCATTTGTGAAAAGTGGAGAAGAGAATAGGTGTGAGGACGGAAGGTGATATCACTGCAGCGCTGAACACTTCTGGGCGTCAATAGATATGAGCTCAGACAAGTGTCCTCATGCTCACAGGTCGAGCTGACAGATGAAAGAGCCAGAAGGTGCGGGTCTGGTGGGGAAGGTGTGGGTCTGCTGGGGGAGCTGTGGGTCTGCTGGGGGAGGTGTGGGTCTACTGGGGGAGGTGTGAGGTGTGAGGCTGCAGCCCTGATGTGGAGCAACAGGCCCCAGTGGATTCCCAGCAAAGAACAACGACTCTGACCTACTCAGACCTGCTGCTGCCCCTGGTCTAGCACTATAGTCACAGCAGGGGCACAGCCACACCCATGTTCATGCACACAGCCCATGTGTGTCCCCACACTGCCCAGCTCCCCTCAAAGGGAGTGTGAACACTTCCTTGGGGGTTCGGGAACAGGCTCCCCCGGCCCAGCTGTTTCTGGGTTGAGTCTAAGGCTGAGATGGGAAAGGGCCTGGCCCAAGAAACAAGGCGATGGCAGACTCAGAACTGCACCAGGCTCCTGCTCCCCAGACTGGCCCGCTCCTGGTTTATAGGGGTGAGGCGCGCATCCAGGCACTCTGGCGCCCTCGCCAGCAGATCAAGCATTCAAGCGGGAGACCCTGGTCTCACACACATACCACATCACCGGGATCGGAGCGCCTGAAAGCCCGGCAAGGGACACGGACCCAGACCAGGGCACCCCGGGGCCCAAAGACCACCACCCAAGGTTGCCCTACTCCTCCCCCGCGCACCAGTGCGAAGGCCTCCGCTTAACCTGGGAGCGCGGGGCCGGCTGGGCCGGGGCCATTATGCGGGCGCATGGCCCGCCGCGCCGGGGCGCAGAGCAAACTTAACCTTCATTTGGGAGCGCCCAGCGGCCGGAGCGCGCGGCGCGGCCATCGATCGCCGCTAATGGCCTCGTCTAAATGCGGAGCCGCTGCCTCCTCCCCCCGGGTCAGCGCGCCCCCGCCCTCGCCTAGCGCTGTGTGCAAAATGGTGTTTACCAAAGTCAATATTGGCTGCCCGCACCACCCAGGGACCCCGGCAGGCAGCCCCCGCTGGCCTCCCAGAGCCCGGGGCCGCATCCGGGCTGCCCAGGCCTCGTCCTTGCTGTCGCAACGGACCCCGCCCCGAGGGGATGCCTGCGAGCCTGACCCAGCGGGGCCTCACCCAAGGTTGCCCAGGGCCCTGAGTCCCTGGACCCTCCAGGCAGCGCCCACCGTGGAAAGAGGAGACTTCGGGTTGACTCCTGGCTGGGATGTCTGTATTATCTGGGCAGGTCCCTTCACCTCGAGCGCTCTGGGCTCGCATTTTTAAACGCCTCCCCCAAAGGGTTGGTGAAAGGATCACATTAGAGATAGTGCAGGGCAGGTGCCCAGACAGAATCCGACAGGCGGGGGGTGGGGGGGTGGCGATGGGGTGGGGTGGGGGGGGTGGGGGGTGGCGATGGGGTGGCGTGCGGGGGATGGGAGTGTGTTTTGGCGAGTGGCTGCTGTAACTTCTGAACTAAGATGTCCGCATCCACTTTTGTCCTTGTCTCCACTCCCCTCCCCCCCACACCCCACTCCCCACCTATGCCCCACGCCCTACCCCACACCCCAAGCCACACCCCAGGTCACACACCAGTGCTGGCCTCAGCTCGTGGACAGAGCACACCCTAGAAGGTTCTCTGAATCCCGGCCTCACCACAGAAGAATCTGAGGCAAATCCTTGACCCCTTAGATCCTCTGCTTTCTAATCTGTAAACATGGTGATGATTCCTGCCCTCCCAGAGGAATGGGTGTCTGAGCTGGCCGGGGGGGGGGGGGGGGGGGGGGGCGGGGGTTGGGGGGGGGTGGGGGGTGGGGGTTGGCACGGAGGACCATGCGGCTCCCAGACAGCAGGGCAAGCAACCGATAACCTTCGTGAGAATCTCCGAGCCTGCTGAAGCCCTGGGGTATGGCTCCCCGGTTCCAGTTACCTTTTCAGGCCGAGCCATTAAGTGTTTATATGGCATCATGTTAAGCTCATTTGACAATAAAACCACCTCCCTGCTCGGGTCCCCTTTAATTCCTGCATTGTTGATCTTTGGATTGATAAGAAAAACATAGTAATTGCAGTTTTCCCTCCCGCCTCCTTTACTCTGTTCCCATCAGAGAAAGGAACTTTTCAATGAGAGCCCCAGAGAAGACTTGGGGGCTGGATCCATAACTGAGTTAGGGCAGGACCTGTAGCCCGAGACCGCCATCTGGTGGCCACGGCTATGCTGACACTCCTGCAACTAGCATGGGATGGAGGCGGCCTGTGCTGCTCTATGCTCAGTCGCTCCGCGGTTTCTGACTCTTTGCGGCCCCATGGGTCCGCCAGGCATCTCTGTGCATGGGGATTCTCCAGGCAAGAATAGTGGAGTGCATTGCCATGCCCCGCTCCAGGGGATCTTCCCAAGGCAAGGATTGAACCCAGGTCGCCCTCACTGCAGGCAGATTCTTTACCGACTGAGCCACCAGACTCATGGGTGACATGGGAAGGGTCACAGAGTCTTAGAATCACAAGGAAGTTTGCTCTTAAAATCGGGGAGTTTTAGATGCTTGAGACATTGTGGGTATGGAACCCTAGAAGAGTAAAAATAGCTACCAGAGGATGAGATGGCTGGATGGCATCACAGACTCAATGGACCTGAGTCTAAGAAAACTCTGGGAGATGGTGAAGGACAGGGAAGCCTGGAGTGTTTCAGCTCATGGGGTTGCAAAGAGTCTGACATGACTTAGTGACTGAACGACAACAGCAATAACTACCAGAGAGCTTTCTCAGTGCCAGGAACTATAGCAAGTACTTTTTAAAGGCTGTTTCTTTTCCTCCTCTTCACAACATCATCCTTTTAAGCTCTATTGTGTAAGTGAGAAAGCTGAGATTCTTGTTAAGCAATTTGTCCAGAGTTGCACTCTGATAAGCAGGGCGGTTGAAATGTGAACCCCAGGTCTCAGGACTCCATATTTGTGCTGTGAACCACCATACCTTGCTATAGAATCTTAGGAGAGTACAATCTAAAACTTCAAAATTTTGGTATTATAGAATCATAGGGTATTAGAATCTTAGAATCAGAGAATCTTAGGATTTTTTAGAATCATGAAATACCAGAAATAGAGTATCTTAGACCTGCAGCCTCAAGAACCATACATGGTTAGGGCTGGGAGGGTCCTTGGGGGTCTCTGGTTTTGCACATGAGGTCAGACAGGGCAAGCACCTGCCTGGATGGTGTGGGACAGGGTGGGAAGTCTGGGCTTCCTGTCTCCTGACCCAGAGTTCTTTCCGCTGTGGGTTTCTCAATCAAGGCTTTTCCAATCATGTTCTTTTATAGCCACTGCAATAAAGCTGTGGACTTTTGCTCCAGAGCAGCACATAAAATATCCCATTATTTGCCTCTTAACCTGAGCTTCTGTTTTACATCTTAAGTCTAAAGTGTAAGCCTCATAAAAGGTAATCATCTAAGGCCTGTTCAAAGCGAAGTCATAAATTGGCCATTTAGCCCAATCAGTCTTTATTGCACTCCTACGGGCACCCAACCAGTACAAGCCTGTACCCATGGAGAGGACGGGGGAGTGTACACCCCAGAGGACTGTGAGCTGCTTAACCCTCCTTTGCGAAGGACCACAGAGAGGCTGAGTCATTCCAAAGAGCATAAATGACAGGGCATGTCATTCCATGGTTACATATAAAGATGGGAGAGGCCAGTGTGGGCTGGGAAATAGTAAAAGCACATGTGGGAATTTTTGTTTGTTTGTTTTCTTTGCTACTAATTGGTAAGTAATTACTATGCACTAGTAAGTGCAAGTATGCCAAGTATGTGAAATACATTATCACAGAATCCTCACAATAATTGTATGAGGTTGATATATGGGCAAATCAAGGCTCAGAGAGGTTAAGTGGTTCACCCAAATTCACTGGGCTTCCCTGGTGGCTCAGTGGTAAAGAATCCACCTGCCAAGCAGAAGGCGCGGGTTCCATCCTGGGTCAGGAAGGTCCCCTGGAGAAGGAAAGGGCAACCCACTCCAGTATTCTTGCCTGGGAAATCCCATGGGCAGAGGAGACTGGTGGGCTGCAGTCCATGGGGTCACTAAGAGTCAGACATGACTTAGCCAGTGAACAGCAACAACGGCAGTGACTTCTGGATTTAAGATTTGGACCTGGGTCTATCTGATTTCAAAGCCTTTGCTTTTCATCACAGTGTCACACTGCTTTGGAGTTGGGCCTTGAATGGCCACAGTGCTCATTTTAAGAATGGAGGTCACATGGGATCTGTGGATGAGTGAGGCTGGTCCATGGGATGAAGGCTGGCTGTGCTAGAAAACACCTCCTCCACACCAGCTGGCCTTGCTCACTCCAGTCTCATTCCTTGCTTCAGTGCCTCTGAGTTGATCAAGAAAATAAGTCTTCTAGGCCTGGGAACCCAGAATCCATTCCACCCTGAGGCTGTCTTGGCAGGGTGTGGGCAGCCAGGCTCCCGTGGGCCATCACTCAGGGAGTACTCCAATCCCTGTTCCAAACCCCCTCAGTAGAGGGGCCTCCCCTGCTGACTCCCGTCTCTCACCTCAACTCCCAGTTCTCTCCCCAAGGCCCATAAAGGTATATGAGAGCCCAGGGTAGGGCCCGCTGTCCCCCAACAGGGGGGATGTGCAGGAGTAGAGTTTGGTCAGCATCTCATCTCCCTGAAAGCATCTGCCATGGGCTCTGCTTGTGACTGAGGGGAACTCTGGCCCATGAGGCTGCCCCTGTCTCCACTCTCTCCCTCACACCCAAAGGGCACCAGATCTGCCCACCTTCCTCCTGAGTTACTCACCAGTCCTCTTCCCCCTTACTAGTCCCCTAAGTCTCAGCCTTGATTCAGGCCTCATTATTTCATACCTAGAATAGCACATGCATCTTCACTGTCTCCTGTTTTATTCTCTGCACACAAATGTGCATACAACCCAAAGGAGAGCCCTCCCATTGCCCTCAGGACGTCCTCCAGCTCCTCGTGGGGTTCAGAGTCTCTTCACCATCTACATCTGTTGACCTCTGTATGCTTTCCTCTCTTTTGGCTCTTTTGTGTACAGGGTGTAGCCCTGGATTAGAATCTTAGCCTCGCTACTATGGGCAGAATGATGTGGATCAAGTTACTCAACCTGTAAGTCTATAAACTGGGGATAATAATAGAACCTTCTTCATAGGGTTGCTGCAAAGATTCAATAATAAAAGAAAATGTAAAGTGCTTATAATGTTGCCTGGCACCTAGTGAGCACTCAGTAATACTCAGGGTTATCCATCATCGCGGACATCATCCTCATCAGCTTACACTGTCATCCTTCTATGTCAAACTACCTGCTATTCTCTTAGCTCACTCAGCTATTTCACACTCTCTTGGCTATTTAATGGATGAGGCAGATTCAGAATGGCTTCCTTGGTCCCATTTCCCTAAAGAGATGGAGTCTGTGTCCTCTTTCCTTAAATGTGGTCTGGCTTGTGACTGCTTGGCCAATAGAACATGGCACAAGTAACACTATTCCAGTGCTGGGCCTGACTTTATTTATTTATTTTTTGGGGGGCCTGACTTTAAAAGAACAGACAAGTACTGCTTTGGTCTCTAGGAACCTCAGCCTGCCATGTAATAAGTCTGACTTACCCTATAGGAGAAATCACACAGAGAGAGACTCGGAGACTTCATAGACAGGGTCCAGTTAAGTTCAGCTCTCCAGCCATCCCCCCTTAAGACTCCAGGCATCTGAGTGGATGTGTCTTGGATCCTCTATCCCAGCCTAGTCACTAGTGGAATACTATATAACCCCAGTTGACACTCTGTGGAGCGAAGGAATTGCCCTGTTTCTGAAATCTGAAATCAAAAGAGAAAATAAAATGTTGGTTTAAACCACTAAGCTTCGGGATAATCTGTGCACTGTAGTAGGTAACCAAAACCATAACCAAGGGGCTCGTGGAGGAAGTCCCACCACTATTGGTATTAACATTTAAAAATATATATGTATATCATTAAATACCTAATAATATTTCTTAGTTAAAAATATGCTTTTAGTTAACTAAGTATATATCTTTTCTTAAACTGTAATTACAAACTTTGTAATATATTTTTGAATCCTCCAAACTCATGAAACAGATAAAATATACACAAAACTGAATTATTAAAACTTAACGACTATGTTGACATTTATCCTTATCCTAAAACATCTGTTCCATGGGTTAATATATTTCTTCATGATTTTTATATTTCATTTTATACCTTCCTAGTTTCTAAGATAATTTATTTTGACAGGTAGCGAGGGTTGCAATAACTTTATAAATTGAAAAGT